TGTAGTGTTTTAAAAGCCTCTAAAGGGACTGAGAAAATCCTCTTTGTTCTTATCTGGAGACACCACATTACCATATTTGACTCTCTTAGACTGAAAAGAGATACCCTGAAGGGACAAACACCTGTTTGAATCTGGGCAAGCTTCCTGTTGTGGAAGTCTGTACAAACCTCCAGCTCCTCTATGATTGTGTACTTCCTATGGTAGAGGCTTCCTATGGTATCTTTGGTTCAGGAAGGCATCCCTTTCCCATGCTTGCTCTGTCATCTCTCACCTTCCCTTCTTCATTTCTTGCTTCAAACAGGACAAAGATCTAATCTCTTAAACAGCACTTTCTACCCCTCAAAGGCTTTCTTGCACTTACATTGATGCTCCAGCCTTCACTTGCATTCTGCAATGTCGCCATCTGAAACGTTATTCCAGCTCTATGGCACCTGCTCAAACACCTGCTCTGGGGAAAGCAGCCAAATAATTAGCACCATTTTTCTAATGACCAATTTGTAGCTGATGAGGCAAAGCAAACAGGAGGGATGGTGGCCATGAGCCCTCAAGGAGCACTGACTGCAGGACTTGTCCCTATGGCTGAATCACCCATTCATCTCTGATTCACCTGGTAAGACCTTCATCCTCCCTGCGCAAGACTTGGAAGCTCCCTTGCTCCCACTGCGTGCCAGGCTTTATGCTTGCCTCTGGTGGCACAAGGGCCAGGCTGTCATTTCACTATGAGGCAGTGAACAGAAGGATCCAAATGCAGCTCCGAAGAATCCTCAATCTGGCATTAATCACCTGCTTGGAGATGCCGGCAGGCAGTGACATTTTCTGAGTGGCACGTAACCAGACATCTGCTGAACGATCCAGCAGCTCGATCCAAAGGGAGGAGGATGCCTTTTTGTCTCCTCCCTGTAGGAAATGAAAGGTCATGGCAGTCCCAGGGAAGTGGGAAAAGAAAGGTTATCCATGGAGCCAGAGTCCCTGGGCAGCAAGAGGTCATTTCATGGGGAGCCCAGTACGCCTGTGTACACCGCTCACTGCGTGTGGATGTAAATCAGTGTCACTCCTAAAGCTGATGGGAGAATCAGATTTAAGTAAAGAAGTGAATAACTTTCCTGTAGGAAGCAAATAGATGAAATCACTTGGACCAGACTGAGACCGTGAAGGAATCTGTATTGTGACAAAACTCACCTGGAACAGGCACCTCCATTCCTGTGCTTCTTGGGAGGGATTCTGAAATGACCTCTCCTCTGTTCTGTCAAATGCAAAATATGAATCTAATCGAACTCTGGATCTGAGCCAGCATAGTAATGTACCTGTTTCTGCAAAATACATTTCTCTGAAATATAACACTGATCAAAGAATAAAATAAGAATAGGCACATGGGTTTTCTATTGGAAAATGCTGATTTATTGAACCCAAGATGTTTAATAAAGATACATTGATTTCTTACAAAAATGTGAGGACTTTCAGTAAGTTACAAGATGCACTGAGGGACAAAACAAGAAGCCAAATTTAACTCCTTAGTGTTGTATAAGCTGAGCTAGAGGAATAATACCTAAATTACTGTTCTGAGGTTTAAAAAAATGTTGATTTTTCATTTCTAATACTGCACCTCACTGCAAACCAGTAAACTTCTGATCACATCAACCTTCAGCACTTCTGTAGTCTCTTCAGCTGAAGACATAGAAAGCTTCTCACCCAGGAGAAACCCTATACACCAGCATTATAAATGCTGGTTGAAAGGCTGATGTTGCTTTGGAGGTGCTGATGCCGTGCAGGCTCCTTAAGATAAGAGTAACAGTGGCATGTAACGACATGAAGCCTTTCCATCCATGGGCTTTCCCCAAAACCAATATGAAATGTCAACTGACTTGACCCCCCTTGCTAACGAAGACTGCTTCATGTCACCTCCTGGTTTTATATCATCCAAACTTAGTTTTGATTTGTAAGAAACATTCTTCTTTATCTTTCCTAAATCACTTTCACATAGAGATAAAGATCATGCCAAATGTCAGCCCCAGCCAAAAAAATACAACCCTTTTTTATTGGCAGGGTTTGTGGATTTCTATCACTCTTGCTCTGCTGAACTGATCAGATTGGATAGGATAGGGCCAAGATTTCTCTTGGCTGTAGTACTTTCAGCTCATTCAGTGCACCGCTGGGGACAGAAGCATAAGGGACAGGATGCAGAGTGTGCCAGATGAAAGATGCTGCCTCTAGAATGGCCTGAGATGCCTGGTGCAACCCTAACAACATCTAGAAAGGATTACGGGTAAAAGAGGGGAGATGGTCCAAGAGCTGGTGACAACACCATGTCAAGCAGTTGGGCACAAAAGGAAGAGTGACAAATGTCTTTATCCATTGCAAATTGCAAGAGAAGCTTGAGGACCTGGAGGTTACAAGAGAAGTTCCAATTTTGCTGGTGCAACAGCATTACCAGTGTTTGTTCTTGGGAGCAATGCAAACATTCCCTTGGTAGGTACAGTTGGTCAAGGTTTTGATGTTGTCTCTCATGGCAAGTGAAGAGTCAGGTGACATTTAAAGCAAGATGAACCATCACAAACACGTGAGAATGGAACTTCATATTCCCACCCATAAGAAATATATGCATAAGTGTGTGCGTATATAGCTATATATATAAATATATATATGTATGAACCAGAGAGGTGAAAACCTTGGATAGATTTCAGACTCCTGGCTGCTTTCCAGCAATGCTTTAGAAATACAGTACTAAATTTACATTGGTTTCAGTAATTCAAGACTAGAATTTCCCCCTGGAGATCCCATCTGCTCCTCACTTACATGAATCCCCCAAACTGGGAAACAACAGCACAGACATCATATTAAATCACTGGTTTTATCATTCCCATTCAGTTTTTATCCTGGATCTGATGATCTGCCAGGATAGAATGCTGCCTCACTTGCTTTATCAAACAACATGGCATGCAGGAATCCAGGCAGCACTGAGGTGTTCAGCGGCGTGGCTGGTTGCTGGAGGATGCAACCCCTCTAAGCTCTTAAATGCTGTGTTCCTGGGAGCTGGCACACTGGGATCTTTTCCTGACAGCCTGGCATTAGCAGATTAACCATGTGGGAACAGGAGAGGAATTAGCTTGGAAGTTTTTGTGGAAGTTGATGAAAAAGAATTTCACTGATGAAGAAGAAATCATGCATTGGATCATGCAGAAAATGCATCAGATATGACACATGGGCAGCATCTCACAGATACTGGTGAAACAGGAGGCCAAGGTGAATGTATAAATGTATGAGCTTAGGTGACAGGAGCTCATTCACGCTCCACACAGTGGCTTACAGGCTCTTTCTAAATAATTATGCATTTTTCCCCTTGAATATTACAAGGGATCCAAAAAACATTTTCTAAACACTATTTGCATTTGAGCAGGACAGGGATGCACGCGGTGGTGGAGATGGAAACTACTGCACCTTTCTCTTCTCTGCAAAACAGAGCTGCATCCAAACCTAACCACTGAAACAGGGTGGGTGGAAAGAATAGGAATGTCTCTTAAAATCCTACCACAGGAGGCCCTTTTTATGCACCAGAAGGGTAGAGGAAGGTTGCAGGGCTGAGAGGAAGCATCTGTAGGAGCAATAATCCCTTCCCTGGGCTCAAGGGGGCATTTGTGATCTGCAGCAGCTCTGAAGGCAGCGCTGTGCAGATGGTCACTGCTTCAGCTTGTGTCACTGCTTCAACTCTTACCTGCGTCTCCCTGACAGAGAGAGGAAAAGGAATTTATGCTCCAGGAAAGGCTTTACCTGAGGATAAAGGACACAGATCCCTTCCTGTGGGTGCCCACAGCTCCACCGCTTTGTAGTCCAGTGCTCCGATAGCTCCACAGGGCTGACAAAGGGCTGCCTTGTGTGACTGCTAAGGAGCAATAGCAGTTTCTTCCAGCTTCTGGCTCTCTGATAGCTGGATTCCTCACTTCAGCCCAGAACCCACCAATGCTAATGGCTGGTGGCCTTTTCCTCATGATTTACCTAGTGGGATTTGTCCTGGGCACAACTGCAGGGCTTATCCAGGGAAGCCTCCTCCTACACAGCAGCACTAAGGGGCACAGACCAAGGCTGGCTCAGAAGATTTAGCTCTTCAAGATCCTTTGGTTTTGCGGTTAACCCATATCCCTGTATCCCATTAATAGAGCCTGACCGAGGCTGTGAAGCTTTTAAGTGGCTTTTGTTCCTGTGAAAGATGCAGCAATCCTATCAAGCCCTGTTTGGCTTCTGCAGAGGGACAGATGAGGAGAGGAAGGCCCTCTCCTCCTCTTCCCTTCTGCAGCACTCATACAGGCTAAAATTAAACAAGAGAGAACAGTTGGAGAGCAGCAGGTGGGAAGGGCTCAGCTGCACATTTGGGTCATTGCAGACAAATTCTTGCTCCAATTGACATCAAGCCCTTTTCCACCCAGACACAGCAGCAGATCTGAGGAGGGCAGGAGAGGACTGGCTGAGTGGCAATGGTACAGGGCTGCAGACATCCTCTCCTCGAAGGGCCTGTCCCCATCATGGAGACTTGCATTACCTCCATGGCCAGGCTGCCAGTAAATTTTGGCCCAATAGTTTTCTAGTTCAAAGGACTTCTATCACTCCAGTATTATCACAGACATTCTAGCCATAAAATCCCTGCAGCATAGCTCAATGTCTCAAATACTCCCATTTTACAGGTGGAAATCTGATGCATAGAGAGTAATTCAATGTAGTGGGTGAAAGAAGGATTTTTATCCATGTGAAAGTCTTAGACATTATCCCAGCTCTTAATCTTCCCTTCCCCACCTCAGAAGTGATCAGCAGATCCTACCCACCTGAATGGAGCATTCACCTTGTGCAGGTTACAGCTACCAAAGGGAGTCAAAACAGGGAGCCTCAGTGCTTTATAAATCACAGTAAAGGAGAAACAGGTCACAGAAATCCCACCCTCAATTGCCATAACACACTTTGGTACAATTATTTCTCTGTGTATGCAAATATATTTCCCTTGTCATATCTATTAGTAAAATCCATAACATTGCCAGAAATAATCCAAAGGCACAATAATTAGAAATACAATATTAATAGAGGTGATGTATATGAAGAGCATAAAGTGCCTCCACGTGAGTCCAGCTCTGTTCCCTGTCCTACCTACTGTTGATGTCTGACCTTGACCAAGTTGGTTAACGTCTCCATGTCTTCAATAAAACCTGTCTCGTAAAATCTGGATAATAGCATTAAACTTATCTACATCAGATGAAGGTTTTGATGTTTAATCAATAAAGATTTGTAAAAAGCTCTGAGATCCTCTTAAAAAAGGCTATGTCCACAAAAGCTTGCAGCATTATCCAAGACTAATGAGTGAGAGGAGGTACAAGCTGCCCCATTGACATGTCAGTGCTGGAAATGCAGTGTTGAAGCACACCAGTGGTGGGCCAGCCTTGGCCAAGCCATAAGGAAGGAGAACACATTTGGGTTACAAAGGTCTCAGATGGAAGTGGCTGTCAAGCTGCAAGCACAAGGCAAGGGCTTCTACCTCTGACAGGTAGGATCAGCTGCTTCTAATTTCAGAGACACAAAAGCCTGTTTATTCCTGACTTCCCATTCCACCCCTCCTTTTCCTTTTCCTTTTCCTTTTCCTTTTCCTTTTCCTTTTCCTTTTCCTTTCCCTTTCCCACTTTCCCCTTCTCTTTCCCTTTCATTTTCCTTCTTTCCCCCCCTCAGCCTCTGGCCATTTCCTGTTGTCTATTAGGATGGAAGGAATTATCTCTTTAACAGCACAATAACATTCAAGCACCAAATCTTGATGCAGTGCTGGGTGATCAATATAATAGGATGTATATAATAATGTATTAATACTGTGTTTATGGAAGCACATTTTGAGAGCTATCCCTAACTTTTTAACTTTGGAAATAACAAGACGCTGAAGAAATGGAAGTGCTTTTAAATCTCAGATCTAAGCAGAAAAAAGAGTGTCAGCAGAGAGAAGAAAAAGCCTGTTCTCATGGTGTCTCTTGTCTGAGCAGAATTAGGAGATCTCTGGGAGATACCATCCTGCTGAGAGCAATTTTAGCTCGTTCTGAGATACTCTGCTGAATTTAGAGCACAGAGAGTGTCTGACAAGATAATCGGAATTAAACCTAATCTTCCAATCCTTCCTCTGAGATGTATGTGTCACCTATAACTCTGTGTCATCCCTGGAAAGGCCATAGTCACTGGTCAGTTGTCTGCATTGAGGACTGATCTTCAGCTCCTTTGGTTCAGGAATGGTGAGCTTTATTCTGCAGTATTTAACTCCGATGTGTTCTTGGAGGGGTTGGGAGTAGGCAGGTGGTGTCCTCTTATTCTTCAAACAAATGAGCCCTAGGTCTGTGTAACCTTCCTGCCTGCAGCCCAGTAAGCTCTGCACACTTTAATTCCCAAAGATGAGCTGGGATTCGCATGTTACTTACTGAGGTATTACGTGGAATTTTAATAGGCCTTTAACAGGACTCCTGTGAGTTCAACAGCTGATCCAAACAAGATCTCTGCTCCAAGGCTTAATCCCATTACAGCCTAAAAGGATCTCCTTCAGAGAAATTGTTTTCTCTTCAGGTGGTGCTGCAAAGAAAGAAGAAGAAAGAGATGGATAGAAAGAAGAAAATGAGAGGCAAGTTTAAAGCACAAGTTATCTGGGAAGAGAAGACTGATGCTAATTCAGGTGGAAAATGTTAAGGAAAAAAGTACACAGCTTTTTTTTTAATGTCACTAGTTAGCACTTTATGTCAAAATCCCCTCATCTTAACAATCACTACAACTGAGTGAATAATTTAAAAGGAATAATTAATTCCAAAACCGTGGCATACTGATGCATATCCACATATTGTCTGAAGAGATCACAAAGTTCTCCAGATTTCATGTTGTTCAGCTCTATTTGCCAGTTCCTGCAGCTGACAGTTCTTTGCTTCCAGATACTTTAAGGCTTAACCCATGAAAGGAAATAATTTATTCTAAGCACAGACTTCTTTTGTTTGTCCACATTATTTCAATAACCACTCAAGTGATGCCACTGCACAGTCATGAGTATCTCATAAGTACCCTAGTCCAGAGGTTAAATATCTGAGTTCTGTGTGAGTACATGCGCACACTTACTTGCCCACATGCACTTCACATTTCTGGCTCCTGTTTATTGAACCCTATAGAAACAAACAGAGCAACTGCATTTCTCACCCACAGAGCTCCCAAATCCAGCCAAGTATTTGGACAAAATTGGCCACTGCTGATTGAAGATGGCACAAGAATAAATATGCATTAGGAAATGTCAATGAGCAGGCAGAAGTCATCTGTGTCCATGCATGTTGGTTCTTTGTGGTTCTTAGCCAACCTGATGAAGCCAGTGCAGCATCAGAGCAGACATTCAGAGCTGATGAACATATGTCTTTCCCACATTTCCAAGGGCTGAGGAGCCGGGAGCTTTGCTCTGATGATCAGGCCAGTTGTCCAGTAGGCAGTCCAGACAGCTTAGGCGTAACAATTCCTTCTTGTAATGAAAATTAAGACATTCCATTAAAAAGAAAGAATTAGAACGGCAATAATAGACCTGAACCCATAGGAAAAGTCTTGGATCTGGTTAAAAACTCACATATGGCTTAGGTTTGGTCTGTAAGTGATGCAATGCACCCCTCACAGTCACAGGTTGCATCACTCCCCTACCATGGATAAGCAAAAGGCATCCACAGCCCATTGCTTCTCTGAACCAGCCTTCCCGGGTGGTGCAGCTCCAGCACATCAGAGCTGGATTTTCCTTGGCATTTAAAACGAGGGAAATGTACAGGTCACAGGCTGAAAACTATTAAGAAACAATTTGCTTCCACTGATCTGGTTGGTTCCCTGCATGGCCCGAGTGAACACACTTCACCTCCTATGGGGTGGAGGTAATTAGCCCTGGTGAATTAGACCCTCAATTGCTGTTCTGGAGACACTTGGTGGGCCTAAAATACTTATATATACATCAGTTAATTCAGTAATTGTGGACTTATTTCTTGCACAGTCCTCCTGCCCTGCTTTTCTGCCATCCCTGCAATATGTTTCAATTTCCAACCCTTCACTAAATTAACATTTATGGAAGCATTTCCACTTCTTTTCTGCATCATGGCCAATTGCCTTCAGAGCTCTTTTTCATGTGGGTTGCTGAACATGATTGCATTTGCACTGGGGGGAAATATTCCACAGGAATTTGCTTGCCCAGAGGTTTAGAGCCCTTTCTCTTTTATTTAGTGGCTGTCTGCATCCCAGGTCCATGAAGTCCACAGATCACCTCACCTGATGAGTCCCACCTTCTGCTTTCTTCTCCACAGACACAAAATCAGCAAAGGCTTCTACTTTATGTGTCTGCAAGGTGGCAGCAGGACCTCTCATTTACTCTGTGATGAAGTGCCTTAATCACCTTAAAGAGGGATCTTCCAGACAGGGATGTAAGAGTTGTGGAAAGCAGAAGATGCTCTGGGATGGCACTGAAGGATGAGAGACTCAAACACTTCAAGCTTGGAAAGGTCCCCATGAAAAAATACTCCCTGTTTGCAGCTATGGTCCCAGTCTCCAGCATTGGATGGGTCATATGAGGGTTAAAAAGCTCTACAAAAAGCTTCTACAAAAGCTCTGGCTGCCTGCACAGATCAGCACTGTAGAAATTAGACCTGAAAACATGAAGGGGTCACCTAGGGCAGTATCACCTCTACCTCCATCATGCCTGACAGGTATTCATTCATTGAAAGGCCATCAATGAAGGAGGCCATTTCAATCTCCCTATACCCATGGTCTGACTGCAAGCAGGAAATTGGCATTAGAAGGCATAAGAAATGTCCCCTTCACCTATAAGTGCATTTGCTAATCCTAGGATATAGTTAAAACTCCCCTAGGAATCATTCCATGTATTCACTGATTAAAATAAACTGGGATATTATGGTTTGATTTATTAACCCATTCATGAATCTGTGCGTGAAGGCTTAGCCTTCAGGGAGCAACAGCGAAACTGAGTGCATTTGTCCACAATTCTGCCTGCAGCACGGAACTTGCACCCCCCTCAGATGAACCCAACTGAAGTGATTCAGGTTTCATAACTCCTCTGTATTCTTGGTGAAAGATAAGCTGAGATGCTCATTGGTGTCATGAGAGAGATGATTTCATTTGGCAGGGAGTTAGACGAAGAGAAGGTGAAAGATTCAGGAGGCTGTGAATTGAGCAGCAGATGGGCTTTTCATTAAGAGGAACTCCAAAACCTAATGAAATCGGTCAGAGCTTTTTTCCCTAGCTTTGGTGGACTTTGGAGGAGGACCTGATTTAGGCACTAGCTGCAGGGATACAATTACATCCCTTGATCTTGGTGGTGGATGTTAACAAGCACTTCTGTCACCCTCGCAGGTGCTGACAGAGATTTGGGCATCATTTCTGAGTCAATTTTTGTTCTGAGATTGGCTTGAGCTTTGAACTCCAGCCTCGGGCAATGCATAGAGATAATGGATTTCCCTTCATCTGATATATAGATATCACTGCTCATTTACTTGCTGCTGTGGTATTTGGTTGCTACAGTGTCCAACTATAATGTTTACAGATTGCAGCTGTACTGTACATGACCAAAAAGATGCTGTCTAAGGCTGTTTGGGAGTGTTACTATGATCCGTGGGCTTTATTTGGTTTTGCTGGAGCTAAAACCAGTTGTAAAACCAGCCTAGCTTCCTAAATAACCACATTTAAATATAACTGAATTTTAGGAAGTGCAGAAAAAGCTCCATCATTGTCATATTATTCCCACTGGCATTTCTGAATAAAAATGGATTTAGACTTTCAGCTTTGAAACCCGAGCTTATAACAGGAAAAAAGCAAGCAGGGACGAAGGTCAGCATTGATGTGAAATGCAAAGCATCATATATCTTGATCATCTCTAACCTATTTCCCCACCCATTGCAGGTTTTATACTGATAGTGGTGAAAATCTTGACTTTTCAATCCCAATATTTATTTCTTATGAAGAATTTCCTGGAAACACAGAAGCAATTTC